ACTCATACAATTTAGCTGTACTAATTTATAGTAAAATACTGTAAAATTTATTAGTGATAGGAAACTTGGGAATCTTAGTCATGACGTGTACTAGCATGTATAGGTTCTCCATATAGATTTCATTAAATGGCCATGTAATATGCAACATCGCACCTTGAATGTGTATAGTAGACTTGTCCAGTCGTGGTGATGCAGGTATTGGCGGGCACGCAGGCCACCAGGCGCTCCACGCCCCGAGTCACGAGGTTTCCACACTCGGTGCACCTGCAGACCAAATCTAGATCAGCCACAGGGATATGTACTTGAACAAATGATTGCGCCAAAATTATTATTATTTTTATCATTATTATTATTATTATTACTATCATTGTAAGCTAAATAAAGAGCCACACTGAAAAAAATACGAGATTTATATCACCAAAGGTGTTGGTAGAGGTCAAGATACAGCTAAGAAGGAATGAGAAGCTAAAAGGCCAGCTATTTACGTAAGAAAAACATTTTAGCTGATCTTTTAAACTAATTAAGAGTCGGAGAAGTTACAATCTCTGAAGGCAATCTATTCCAAAGTCTACAAATAGCAGTAGCATCTAGACAACTGACTTGAAGGCGATCGACATGATAAATAAGAGAAGACAGCATTAGAAGATACAATAAAATTATCAGGGAAGCCTAACATCGGAAGAAATATGATTAAAGTAAGCCTTAACTTCTACGAACACGATAGCCACTGTAAACACAATTCTCATCACCACGCCCAGCAGTTCGTGATGGAGGAGACTCCTGGATCACCAAATAATTTCCCTCGTGAGTTTTTGCCTTGCCTGTAGAGCGTGGAAGCCGTTTTGAAGATCCCGCGGGCAGGAGAAGGGTAGGCCTCGCACAAACCCTGCAGGAATTTGGCATACAGCTTGTTCTGGATTCTGTCCCGCCGGTCACGTAGACTTTCCAACTCCCAGTGAGTGAACAGATAGGCTAGTCTGTTTGGGTAAACGGCATGTTGGCAAGACGCGTAATTTGTGAGACAAAGAGTTATGGTAATATGGTAATTTCTGAAAGTGTAAATGAATAGTTACTATATGAAGAATGCAATGAACATAATCCACATATTGAATTGTCTATTAATTTTGAATTGTCTATTAAATAATTTTGTCATTGGTTTTTATCGTAATCATGCACGCTACCTTGTAAGGATGGCATCAGAGAGGCAACTAAGATTGACTTGAGCCTCGAGGATAAGGTTGATGTTGTCGTGGACGTACTGCAGGACCTCCTCCACCAGCGGCGCCATCTTCAGGAAGTCGGCAGAGATCAGGATCGACACGGCGGTCTTGGGTTCTGTAGGTGAAGCATATTATGTATCCGTGTTATTTATGAATTACGTGCTTACTAGTATTTCCAAGATCCGAGATTTGCGAACGCAGCATTTACGAAATATGTAAACAGCATTACTCTCAAAAAATGCTGCGTGTCTTTTCCTTCCTAAACTTTCGAGAAATCCAAAATTGCTATGACAGGTTTCGTTCAGATTTGATGAGGAAAACAAAGTCGATCAAAAGCAAATCATGTTTTTATTCTTTAACGACGAGGTATGAGGCGAAGATTAACAGTGTGTATGCCTGTAGATAAGAAAATGTTTGATACTATTCACAGTCTTCATAGGAATGTAAATACGAATAGCATGACGCGAAACCAACTTTTCATGCTCATCTATTTTATCAGCGATGTGGTATTAAATAAAAGTACTTGCAGAATATTCATAATGTTACTGTGAATTAATTCTCTTGTTACATATGCCAGTCATGTCAGAAGTGACAGCAATTAGTGATATTATTTCAACGATATAATTCGCTCACCAAGAGTCGGAGGAACATGGTCTTCTGTCTGACCTCGCTTGACCCACCGCAGCAGCCACTCGAAAATGCTGACGTCACAGTGCACCGAGATGTCTACATCCTCTAGACGCTGACCTTGAAGGAATAAAATTCGATAATTCTCCTCCACATCACCACATCACCGTTCTTCTCATTATCATCGTAAAATATTATTGAGAAACTAATTTCAAAGATACTCTAATCCAGGAGTAAATTCGTCGTGCTTATGGGATCTTAATGAAAATTTCAAATAAAAAAATCGACACACAATAAAGGATAGTGACTGTGGCAATGATAGTGACACAAGGGCATCCTGGGGCGTTACCAGCAGTGACATCGGCGAAGTACCCGATGTGGTGAATCAGGAGATCCCGAGGACACGTGAAGTCCTGGCGAAGCCCTCGCGCCTCGTCACACACGTGGATCACAATGCCCGGGCTGCGTGTGGTGAAAGGAGATTGACAAGCAGTTAAACCATTCCAGAAACGGGTTTTCAACGTCTGCGAATTCTCTTCATATATATATATATATTATATATATATATATATATATATATATATATATATTATATATATATATTTATGCATATAAATCCGCACATCCATATACAAATATTACAAATAAAGAAATATATATGCATTATATATAAAATAAATAAATAAATAAATAAATAAATAAATTGATATATATATATATATATATATATATATATATATATATATATATATATGTGTGTGTGTGTGTGTGTGTGTGTGTGTGTGTGTGTGTTGTGTGTGGTGTGTGGGTGTGCGCGCGCGTGTGTGTATTTATATGTATACGCATATGTGTGTGTGTGTATGTCTGTTTTCCTGGGTGTATGTATATTTATGTTGCGTGTATGTCGTGGGTGTGCGTGTCTTGTTGTACCCGTGCATGCATTTATATCTCCGTGCGTGTAAGTGTCCTCCATCAAAATCAATAGCACTCTATTCAAATCAACAGAAGCTGAAGAGGCGCCGCCGGCACCAACCTCTGTCAGGAAGGCCTCTGAAGGACGGCGGGGCGGTGGGCGGGCGGTGCTCCTCCTTGGCGGCGAGCGTCGAGGGGGAGGCCAGGGAGGTCGCGGCGGAGGGGGAGGCGAGGCTGGAGGCTGAAGCGGAGGCAGAGGAGCTGCAAGGGCGGCGGGAGAGAGGAGGGGGAGCGGAGGCGAGGGGGGGGGGAGACCTCCTGGCGGCGTCCTTGGCGAAGTCCCTCGTCGGCGACCTGGTGGAAAGGGCCGGGCGTTGGAAACAGCGGGTCACGTGACTGTTTTTCGCTCGTTCTCACTTCCTTTCGTATTTCTTACGTTTGGCGAATAATGGTATGATGACTTTATAATCTATATTTCATTCTACAGCACGTCGGTTCCCGTTAGCTCTTAATATCATGCAGTAACGGGATGAAAAGCGAACGGCGACATGCACTGTCCAGCCGAATTCCCTCCCACAAGTTTAGTCATGCGGTTCGAAGGCAATGGGGGGTATGCATATATTATTATATATATATATATATAATATATATATATATATATATATATATATATATATATATATATATATATATATAATATATATATATATATATATATATATATTAATATCTATATATATATATTATATATATATATATCTATATCTATATCTATCTATCTATCTCTATCTATCTATATATATATCTATATCTATCTATATATATATCTATCTATATATCTATCTATCTATACATACACATATCTAACATTTTGTGTGCATATTGTTGTTCGTGTGTATGTTTATGCATACGGACATATATGTATGCAAGGTTGCTGTGGCTGAAAACTCTAACAATATCTATAACGCCCTGCAACTTAGAGCGATGTTTTCAATGTATTTTTCTCGTAATATTTTTATGTTATTCTGTATCATTCTGTATGGCACCTGATTTAATCAAACAATTTGCTAAAGCAGAGACTGGAAATATCAAAATGGTATCAACCTTAAACTGATTAGTCAGAACGGACCATATACGACTGTGTTGTATTAAGTTATAAATCACATTCCTCTCTAATGTATACATACGCGACTGCATCCTGTGTCCCATCCTACACAGACTACCATTACAAACTGAATTATTATTCAGTAGTAGAGTCAGGACATCGGCTCAGAACAAAGTGACCGTTCCAATACGTTAGCTCAGTGCTAATCTTGCCTGGCACAGCGCCAACGTTCTTACTCGAGGAATTTAATGTTGCAAGTTTGATAGTTCCGAAAACTTGGTCGGTGCTGCCTCGCATCTGCCCGCCAGGCCGAGGCGCGCTCTCGGAACCGGCCGCCGCGCCCCGAGAGTCACCGCGCCGTTACGAGTGTCGAGCGGCGGGCGGGACGCTGCGAAAGGCTTTATTGTAGCGCGATGCATTCGATTTCCTAAGCCTGCTACGGTGATATTTTTTCTCTGAATTGTGTGTCAGACTGAGGGGAGATCTGTTACCAAATGCTTTATCATGAAGCGAGTAATTCAGTATCAAGCACCTACTACGGTTTTCGTTTTTAGTGCACTTCTCTGTACCTGTGAGATTTGCCTCCTGCTTTCGAGCTGGGCGTGGGTGTGGGCGTTCGTGACCGAGTGATGGCAGGCGGCGCAGGATGCGAGGGCGTGAGGGCGGGGGTGGTTGTCAAGTTGAGCGAGGATACCATATACGGCAGGATGGAGTCCAGCAGACCGTCCTGGGGAGTCGAGAGGAGAAGGATGGCCTCAGAATGCTGCCTTTAGCCGTGAGAACATTAGCCGTAATTAGGGAATAATGTTGGAAATGCTGGGTCGGGGTCGGGGCTGGATAGAGTGTGCAAAAATCAAGGGATACGTGAAGAGAAACAGCTGGATATTTCAGTGCAATATGAAAATGCATGCATACGTACATATATCACATTATACAATTAATAAAATCCATTGATTTATCCAATGCGCATTAATAGATTATTGCGCATATTTTAAGCATAAACATAAAAAGAGACATTGATATGGTACTATCATATATGAATTATATTCAGCGTCATTGCACAATGTCAATGAAACACAAGCGAAAACCGCGCTGAGCCAAGGGTACCTGCAGCAGAACCTGCAGCAGGGCTAAGGTCTGCTCGGGGGAGTTGGCGCAGGGGTTGGCGAGGAGTCGCGCCCACGTCTGGGAGGCGGAGGGCAAAGCTGGAGTGGTGGAGGAGGAGGAGGAAGAGGAGGAGGTGGAGCTGGTGGTGGTGATGGGGGTGAGGCTGGAGGAGCCCCGCAGGCCAGGCACGTCGTCGGCAGGGGAGGCCGAGCCCTTGGCCGCCTTTCCGCTCGCCCTGATCTGCGGGGGGCGACACTGGGGGTCAGAGAGAGAGAGGCTGTGTATATGTTTGTATGTATGTATACACACATACACGCGCACGCACGCACACACACACACACGCACGCGCACGCACACACCACACACACACACGCACGCAGGCACGGACGCACGCACACACACACACACACACACACACACACGCACATATATATATATATATATATATATATATATATATATATATATATATATATATATATATATATACACACACACATTATACCAATGCCAAATGTACACATTTTAGCCCTAAACCATTTTATTCTATATTTCTATAGTGGATTCAATTAGCTCGCATTGCGAACCATATGTGATGGATAGGTTAGACTGTACTAAATACTGAAATGCAGCGCGGTATTCAACGCAGGTTTCAGAACTAACTTCTATATACAGAAACGCATACACGCAGATACGTGCGCATATAAAAGCATGTGCACACACACACACACACACACACATGCGCGCGCGCGCTCATCCATACGAGCATCCATACTATCCCCACAGGCGAACGTACACAAACACACCCACATACCACCCACGCACGCAAACACTCCCTCCCTCTAGATACAGGCACTCAATACATTGCATCACGTGTCTCTCTGATTGCTTCAACTTCACGCCATTGCCCATAAGCGTCTGCAGTGCATTACGTCACGTGTTCCAAAAGCAATCTGTGCCAAGGTGTATGCGCTTGTATAGATCCTGATCTGTACCTTGTTGGTTGTGGCGGCGGCAACGCGGTACAGCTGAGTAGCAGTCAGGAGGAAGTCCAGGACATTGGCCATACTAATGGAACTCGAACCCATCCCGGTGGTCACGCCCGCGGCCGTGCCCTTGCCGCTGCTGCCGGACACCGCCCATGCTAGCCCGATGCCGTTCTTGAGAGCCCCCGTGGACGCCGCCGATATGGAGGAACCGCCCGTGCTGAGGACTGAGCTCGCTGTGGAAGAGCCTGCCGAGGAACCTGTCCCGCCCGAAGTGTTCTCAGGACCCCACATCGTCTCCGGTGCTGGAAGGGCGAGGTAGGGCGGGATTTGAACTCAGGAGGGGAATGCAGAATGCGTTTGACGAACAAAATGTATGGGACGGAAAGTAGAGTAAATGATTCCTGAAAAATAATAAAAATGATAATGAGAATGATGATGGTGATGGTCATCATCATCATCATCATCATCATTATCATATTATTCATTTTTACTATTTTTCATCATTAGTAATAACAGTAACAAAAATAATAGTGTTAACATCAATAATAATAACAACAACAATAATGATAATGATAATAATGATAATGAAATAGTAATAATAATAATCATGATAAAAAGAATGATAATGATGATGATGGTGATAATAATAACGACAATAGTAATAATAATAATAATAAAGATGATAATAATAACAATAATAATGATGATAACAATAACAATAATAATAGAAAAGTAATAATAATAACGATAATAACGATAATAATAATAATAAAATAATAACAATGATAATAGTGATAATAATGACAACAACAATAATAATAATGGTAATAGCAGTGATGATGAAATAATAGTAATAATAATAACTTATTATTATTATAATTATAATAACTATGATGATAATAATAATGATAAATACAATAAAGATCAAAATAATAATACTGATAATGATACTAATACTAATACTAAAAATGATAATAATGATAATAATAATGATAGCGATGATGATGATGATAATAATAATAACAATAATAATGTTGATAATGAGAACAACCATTATAATAACAAAAACAACAATAATAATGATAACGATAATAATAATTATAGGTAATAATATAATAATATAATAATAATAATAATAATAATAATAATAATAATAATAATAATAATAATAATAATAAAAATAATGATATTAATAATACTGATAAAATAATGATGATAATGACAATAACAATATTAACCATAATGATAAATATAATGACAATAATGATAAGAATAATAAGGATAACCATAACAATCCTCGATAACAAGGATAATGATAAAAAATAGTGATAACTATGATGATAATTATAATAGTAAAATGGTAATGATAAAACTATAATCATGACTAATAATTAATTATATTAACTACAGTAACAACACAACAACGACAATGATGATGATGAAAGAGAAAGCTAAGGCACTTACACCTCCTAATATATATGTCTAAGCAGCCATTTAAGAAAACAGAATGACATGTATCTAAATGTCTTCCCAAAACCTATATCTCAGCTATTAAGGAAGTAATTTTCGGATATTAATCTTTTGACTCGTCATCTGAACTCTCCGTGACTTTTCACCTCTTTTCCGAACTGGGACAGCAATATATGTGCCTATAAATATCTAATGAAGACACGTTCAGCGTAATACATACCAACAAAAGCGAAGGAACCCTGAGAAGCTATTTACACGTGTCACCATGGCAACGAAAGGAAGCCAAAGAAAATGTGCAGGGAAGTCGGGGTAACTACGTAAATATGTATTTCTTTTTGTTTTGTTTGTTTACTGATTTATTCTTCAGTTGTCTTATTATTCAATCGTATTAAAAAAATGTTTCTGTTAATAGTCAAGCAACCATAAATATAAACACGCAAACAAGCAAATTTATGAAATAAGGAGAAAAAAAAGAGACATGACCACTAACCGCGGATGTGAGAGCAACGGAAAGCGGATCGTGAGTAAACAGAAGAAAGGCGTCGCGGCTTTCGTGACCCTCTGGCCCAGTGACCCCTGACTCCTCTCGTTCTCTCCTCCCCGTAATCGGCGATATCCTCAACAACATTACCGTATTGACACATTTCAGTAAAAGGAAGTGCGAGTGAGAAAAGGAAGGGTGTAAGGCGTGAGAGATGTGAACAATTAGTACACGTGATTGCAATAAAAATATCGCAATTTAGGTTTAATGAAGTTTGTAATAATCATGGTAGATGTTAGGTCTTTATTCATGATAAGTAATTAATATTGACAGGGGTTATACCAACAATAACAACAACAAAACCATAATTACATCTATGTGAAGATACTGGTAATATAGGCCTACATGACAATATCAGTACTGATGCTATTGACAAACAATAGAATATTATACCCAAAAAAAGATAACTGTAAAAGTTATGAATTAGAAAAAAAGAAAAATATGTATCTCTCTCTCTCTCTCTCTCTCTCTCTCTCTCTCTCTCTCTCTCTCTCTCTCTCTCTCTCTCTCTCTCTCTCTCTCTCTCTCTCTCTCTATATATATATATATATATATATATATATATATATATATATATGCATACATTATATATTTATATATATATACATACATACATACATACAGCATATATATATATATATATATATATATATATATATATATATATATATATATATATATATATATGTATAATACTTACATACATACATATAAATGCACTGTACTCAAGAGTCCCAATGAGCAGCAAAAATTGATCATTAATCTAGACGTAAATAATGAATATATGTTAATTACTCTTGGTTATTCTGGGAGTATGGAAGGTGCTATCTTTATGTATAAAAATATTTTTATATAAAAGTAAAACCAGCTCCCACATCCAATATAGCTAAATATCCAGATTACTACAAACCAAAACAAAATTACCACATTCCAGATCATTTTAATAATAAAGCTTACGTGCATGTGTAACCCCTCCCCAAAATCACGCGAACGAAAGGTATGAGTGATCATCAATTTATCATTCATTGTGTTAATATTTATTACCATTCGTACCTTCACTGTCTCACCGCCGTCTGCACCCCACCCGGAAGACCCCCCCCCCCCTAACTCCACCTCCCGTGTCCTCATCTTCGTTCCACATTACCTGCGGCTCATTAACTCCAGCTTCACCTGGATTCGCGTGGGCGCTGCAGTTGCCATGGTCACGCGAGGTTTCGTTTACGGTGCGTGGAGTCTCCTTTCGAATGTCTTTTGCGTCCTGAGTATTTTGATGAGGCTTTTCTCTTCTTTTATCAGATTAACCTTTTCTTTCCTTGATGAGTGAAGATAGTTAAGGAATTAAATTACGCATTAAATACGCGGTGGCACCACCACTAAAGACATATAAAGACTGGGTCATAACGACGACCCCACAGTTGTTGAAAGTGACACTCGTGAGCCACGACCTTTTCTTGGCATCAGTGATCGAAGTACAACAGAAGAAAGGAAAAAAATGAATAATTCTCAGAAACACAGTGTAAGTGGAATCTACAAGTTCTTGGTTACGAATTTCATTCTGTGAGTATATGAAAAGTGACACTTGTTATCGATGTTACAGGCGGTGCTGTATCGGAGTCTCCTGCTGGCGGCCGCGACGTGGGTGGTGGCAGTGGCACAGTTCGTCCCTGGCTTCCTGGTGGAGTCCGGCACTGACCTCCAGGAGTGGCCCAAGAACCTGTCTTCGCTTTTCCCCGAGAATACATCGCCTGAGGAGCAGCAGGTAAATTTTGTGGTCACACTTTCAGGGGAGAGAGTAACACCAAAGGATGAAAACCTGTAAAGAGTATATGTCCACATAACTACGTTTAGAAGAAATACTTTCCCCAGGACTACTATGCCAACGCCATCGCCTCGGTCTTCGGGTCCGGCACCATCGCGGCGCCTCTGCCAGATCACAACCCCGTGGAGGAGGTTCTGGACGGGCGCGTGGAGCCCAACGCCGTCGCCTCAGAGGAGATTCCCGGCCTCCAGGTCCTCCCCAACGGCACGGCTGTCACGCCCTCCCAGGGTCCACAAACTCCACCATCCACTGGTAACGCAATCTGTATCAAACATGTCGTCACTGTTGATATTGTGAACTTCCTCCATAGATGAAGTTTTGATTTACAGATGAATATTGTTAAGGAAACTGAATGAAGGGAAGAAGGGATCTTAGAAAGACAATATCAAATGGGCCGGTAAAAAGTAGTGTGAATTCGCCTCCTTTTTTACTAAACTTCAGGGACTTCACAATCCACTCACATTTCATATTTTAGTGAGCTAGCACTTGCATTTGTTTAGATGAAATTAGACGACCTCGGAATATATTCTTCATAATGAAAACTCCCTTTCCCAAACAAACCGAGATAACAAAAAATAAAAATTAACGTTTCTTATAAAGCTCGATGACAGAATGATGACGGACAAATCGATTAAACAAACAAACAAACAAACAACAACAACAACAAAAAAGTCGAAAACCGCATAGTCTCGACCTCCAAACTTCCTCCACCTTGCCATATAATCTTTTAGGAAATAGCAAAGCTTTCCTGATCCTCGTCTCCGCTCGGCCGCAGGAACCGAAGGGGACAGGTGTGCCACGGTGCTGTTCTCTGTGGCCCGCGCGCATTACAAGCACAGGAAGGGAGGCACCCAGGGGACGCAGGTTCTCTTTGATAAGGTGAGTTTTTTCATATTTATTAGTGTTTTTTTCCTGTTGTTATCCACTTTCTGTCAGATTGTATATGTAACAAGAGGTATAAAGATAGCAAGAAAAATTACACTACCATATAAAATCATAATTACAAATATTGTGGTGACAATAGTCATTGACGAAATGGGTGTAAAAAGGATTATTAACGTAATCATTATGATGATGATGAAGGTTAATGATGTTAGTGATGATGAAAAGGCTTGGTGATGAAAGTCGTTGATAGCAATAACAATAACAGCATTGATGATAACGTTAAACTTGGCAATGAAAATAGTTCTAATGATAGATAATGATAATGATGATAATGACATTGACAGTAATAATAAGAGCAAATGATAATGATGATAATGACAGTTATCATCATAAGAATGATAACGATGATAATGATAATAATGATAATAATAATAGTAATAATGATGATAATAACAATTACAACAATAACAACAACAAAACAACAATAATAGTAATAATTATAATAATAATGATAATGATCATAATAATGATAATAACGATAATGACAATAACAATAATGATATCAATGATAATGGTAAAGATAATTAAAATGATAATAGTGATAACGATGATAGTAATAATGTTGATAATAATGATAAAAATGTTAATGATGATAATAGTAACAAGGGTATTAACGATAATGGTAATAATGTTGATAATGACTACGGTAACAAAAATAATGATAATAATAATTTTAGCAATGATAATAATAATGATAATGATAAAAATAATGATAATGATAATAATGATAGTAATAATAATAATGATAATAATGAAGATGTTAAAAAATAATGATAATGGTAGAGATAATGATAACGATACTACTACTACTACTACTAATAGGAATGATAATAATAATAAAGATAATAGTAATAATGATAATGATGATAATCATAATAAAGATGATAGTAATAATAATAATAACAAAAATAACAGCAATAACAACAATAAAAAAAATAATAATGATAATAATAATAATGGTAATGATAACAATATTAATAACAATAACACTAATGGCAATAATGATAATAATGATAATAATCTTAAAAACAATAATGATAGTGGTAGTAGTAGTAGTAATAGTAGTAATAGTAGTGATAATAGTAATAAAATGATTACCATCATAATAATATAGTAATAACAACAATAGTAATAATTGTGATGGTGAGAGTAATGATAATAATAATAATAATGATAATGATGATAATTATGATTATAACAACAACACTAGTAATAACAACAATACTATTAATGATAATGAAAATACCAATGATAATAAAAACAATAATAAAGATGATAATAAGATGACGATAATAGTAGTAATGATAATAATGATAATAATAATAACAACAATAATGATAATAATAATAATAATAATAATAATAATAATAATAATAATAATAATAATAATAATAATAATAATGACAATAATAATAACAACAACAACAACAAATAATAATAATAATAATAATAATAATAATAATAATAATAACAATAATAATAATGATAATGATAACGATGGTAATAAGAGTAATGATAATAATGATAATGATAATATTGATAACAATAGTAATAATATCAATAATGATGATAATAATATTTAAATGATAATGATAATAATGTTCTTCACAATAATGATAATAATAACAATAATGATAATAATAACAATAATGATAATAATAACAATAATGATAGTAGTAACAATAATAAAATGATAATGGTAACAATAATGATAGTAGTAACAATAATAAAATGATAATGATAGCAATAATAATGATAGTAATATAAATACTGATAGTATTAATGAAAATAAAAATGTTAATGGCAATGATGATAATGATAATAATAATAATAATAATAATAATAATAATAATAATAGTATTATTAATGATAACAATAATTATAATAATGATAATGATGATAATGAAAATAATGATGTCATTGATAGTAATGATAATAACAACAATGGTAATGATAATAACAATAATAATAATAATGATGATGATAATGATAATAATAATAATAATGATGATAGTGATAATCATAATGATATTAATGGTAATTATAATCATGATAATGATTATAATAATATTGATGATAATAAGGATAATGATGATGATGATGATAATAATAACAATAATAATAATAATAATGATACTAATGATAATAATAGTAATGACGATTATAAAAAAATAATAATGATAATTTTAATAATGATAATGATAATAATAACGGTAACCGTTCTAATAATAATGATTATTACTATAATGATAACAGCAGTAATAATAACATCAGGGCATGTGTGTGTGCAGTTATGTTTTCACCCACGAAAACCGCAACAAATATATATCCGATAACCCGATATACATAATTAATGGACGTGCTATAAGAGATAGGGAGAAAAATATGAGATTCTGATATTATGGGAATGCCGTAGAAAAGTAAGAAATGGGAGGAGAAAGATGCAAATAAGCAAAAGGAGGGAGAGAGGCATTAAAACTAATTATAATGGTAATAATGGTAGATATAGATAATTTAATAAGAATGGTAGATACCGAAACAAGAGTGGTAGCAATTGTTTTAATGATGATGATAATGACAGGAGAGATGTGGGTAATAACGATAGTAATGATAATGCATGATCAGAATGATGATAATAACAGTAAAAACATTCATATTAGTAGTTGACAGCAATTGTAAGTGCAATGGCGATAATAATGGTACTAATTATAAAAATGCAATAATGATATCACTAGTGACAAATGAATAATTATCACAGAGATGGTGAAGTAAATAATGATAATACTTGTGCTAATGATAACGATAAAAACAAACATAATAATAATGATTCAGCAACAACAATAATGCTGTTGATAATAGACTGAAAGTTTTTATACTTATATTAATGATACAAAGTAATTTAACGATAAGAGTGATTTTGGAAATAATTTTTGTGAAATAGCAGTAGCGCTATTAGTGGTAATAACACTAGCCCTGTTATCATATATATGAAAAGAAAGCGTTATGGTTGAGTGAATCTCTTGACTTTTTATTACCGTGCATTACGATCCCATTTTCAAAGACTGAAATCTTTCTTTAAAGAATGTTTTCCAGTCTTCCAGTTTTAGAGAATATTTCCCAGTCTTCGATTCTGCTCATTGCTCTTACAGTGCCTCATTTATTTTTCTGAATTTCTCTTCAAACCACTATTCTATTTCTTGATATTTCAGTAATGATTCGTTTAACGTTCTATGTACATAAAAATACAGCCTACATAGTACATTACAGTGCGAGGCTACTTAATCATGCTGAAGACTTGTCTTAGATAATCACACCAAACTACATCTATACCTCTGTAACATGACATGAAGTTTGACCGGTTAGTCGATTGATCGTTAGAAATTCATACCGAGGTCAATCGATAGACACAGAACGTAGTTAAATTTTTACTCGAGTCTACAATCGAAAAACAGAAAAAATCACGTTTTCTATGAATAGTAGGTTCAATAACATATTTGCAAGGCTAACTAAAAATAAAAGACTGCTCAACATTGTAGATGACCAGTTTCACTTAACATCAATGGAAGTTTTGATAATTTATCTATGAAACAGTAAAATGAATAGCCAGCTGCTGCTGTAAGAGAAAGAGAAAGTATTTACACTCTAAAGTGTGAGCTCCTTTGCCATGGAATAACTTCTACTAAGTTTTGATTGGAGTTTTAGAAAGTTGGAAAATTGTTTTCCATGCACCAATTTAAAGGTTTACTTACGGAGAAGTTTTTGGAGAACATCTTGCTTAAAATGGGGCAAAGTAGTGTTATTATCCCCGTTACAATTTTCCGAGCAACAAGACAACTTTCAACAATGCTCATTAGTTCTTCGCAAAATGTAATATTTGGCCGGATACAAAGGCCCATTTCGAGAGGTCGCAAGGAACGTATTTTAGAGATGGTGCTTCTGCTGCGATATACTTAGAGCGCGTTCGTTTTCAGAGAACGAAAGTTAATAAGTGTAGCATGCAGTGACAGTCTTTATATAACGTGAACTTATCGTCTTGCTGTCAATAATATAACTCTGTTGTTATTGTTATTGTTTTCATTGATTATTATCATGACTATTTTCATCTTTATTATGATCGTTATTATAATCATTATCAGTATTAGCATAATTATTAGTCAGATAAGGATAATAGTAATGGTGATGATAATATTAATGGTAATGATAATGATAAAGATAAAGGTAATAATAATAATAATAGGAATAATAATCATAATAATGATGATGAT